CTTGGAGCAGCTGAGCGTCCCAGACTAGAAAGCAATAGATTTCTTGCTTCTGCCACAAATTCCCCCAGCTGTGAGCCTTCCAACCTTCTAAATATTCCTTTATATGTGGTTCAGAGTTCTGGGACTATCCCCTGAGCCTGCGTGGTCAGGTATTCTGTGTTGCTGTTGGCAGAGCTCTTTGCTACACCTCCACCCGATCCACCATCTTGTTCTCGGGACATATTTCTTGTTAATGCAAGGTATCTCTGAATAATCTCTCCATATAGGAGAGGCTTGCAACTTTATCTTCTGTTCTCTACAGCTTTGAAAACTGCAACTCAAGGACACTAGATTATGTGAATTTATGAGCTTTAGTTGTTAGCTTACTTATGTGCTTCTTGCTGTACCTTAAGTTTGGGTCTCTTGGGAGTCTTTACTTTCTGAGTAGATTACCGGTATATTTAGAAATACATCTTTTCAAATATTTTTCCAGTATTTTGTAAGTTTTTCAGAGTAAGAATCAGTCCACCCATGCAATCTGACAACAGAAGTGCCCTCATTGATTTTTAGAATGTACCATTTTCCCTACTGTTAAGAAGCTTGTGAAGGTGCCAGTTTGATTGCTTACATAACTGTTTTGACTAATATAGTTGTTTCTTGCTAATTTCATAATGCAAAGTTAGGTTTTTTTCCATTTCTGATTGACTTTAATATTGTGTGTATTTCATACTAATTGTCCTGTATTTTCATAACGTACATAGATTCTTGGATTAGAAATTTCTCAATTGAAGGAGACACTTGTTTTTAAGAATTTAGTTGGATGTTTTCAGTAAACCTACTGAATCCAAGACTTTTGTCATTGAGTGGATTCTGACTCCTCATGACCCTCTAAGAGAGAGTAGAACTGCTTCTTTTGGTTTTCCAAAACTGTAGATCTCTGTAGAAGCACATAACCTCATTTTTTCTCCTCTGAGTTGTTGGTGGGTTTAAACTGCTAAACTTACAGTTAGCAACACTTCGTATAATCCATTGCACCAGCAGGGTTCTGTAAATTGTCCCTGTCCCTTACAAATGTTTGTAATTGCTAAATTCCCTTCAATATCACATGAGTAGCCTTTTTCTCTACTCATAAGCATCATATACTTTCATGATTTTTTTTAAGTTTCTGCTTTGCAAGGAACAAACGATAAAGAGAAAACACAATAGGAAATATCTGCTAATAATAATTAGATATGAAATGTATCTTTTTAATGTTACTTAAAACTTACTAATAAAATTTTAGATCTTTTTTGCACTAAAAGCTTGTATGTTTTTATGAAATCATGTATGTGTTAGTAAGCTATAAAATTACCTTCAATGAATTTGTCTGAAAATTCTAAATGTCACATATTTATAAATATAACTGTTCTTTTAGGATGGAGTGAGCAGTTACCAGATACTCTAGTTGATGAATCTGTATCTGTTACTGAGAGTACTGAAAAAATAAAGAAAAGATATCGAAAAAGGAAAAATAAGCTTGAAGAAACCTTCCCTGCCTATTTGCAAGTAATATTTTGCTTCACATTATACTTTTTAGTTTGTTATTGAAGGAAATGTAATGCATTGAATTGTTAAAAAAAAATATGGACTTGTTTATGTTAATGTTATACTTGCTTTTGTTGTTTTCATTTAGTCGTCATAAAAATGCCATGTTTATATTCCAAAGGGCCACAAAGGCTAACAGTTATCTTGTTTGTGGTTTGATACTTTTTACCAAGTTCTTACTATCCCATTTTTTAGTTTTTAAGAATTTATACAATATATATGATAAATGAGGTCTTTTAGTTTATGTGAGGATTTTTTAGAGTGGGGAAACTTGTTCTTCCAAACCAGTCCCAGCTTTGTACTTCCCACCCCAGGTCATATTGATACTCGCTTGCCAATACAGGATATGGTAATTATGTTCACTGGATCAAGATGTCCTTTTAGGAGCTGTCTTAATAACTGTCTTAACAGTCATTTACTGCTTTTACAGGCCCAGTGAGCAAAAGATTCTTTTTTAGAATATTTAGATCAGAAAAATACCTTTCAGTGTAAAAGCTATGCTTCATAAAGGTCAGATACATGAAAATGAAATTCTTTTTAGTTTGTCTTGTAAATAGTATGTTAACAGAAGAGTTGAAGGTCATGTGATACACTGGATAGCACTTTATATTAAAAATAGGTTTGGCATTGAGCAACCTGCTCTGCAACCAGCTAATGTATGCAAGTTCCTAAGACCTCTATTTCTTCATGTGTAAAAATTGAATTGTAACTGAGTATCGGTGAGTGCTCCTCTTAATTTTCACTATGTGTGGCTGTGTCCCTCTGTTGATTTGCCCTTTCAATGGAACTACATATGATGCTTCAGTTGTATTTAGTTTTTTCCTTAGTTTTCCAGGTAATTATTGCTAAGTTAATTGGTTTTAAAATGCATTTCCTTTCAGTTAATATATAACTTCTCCAGTTTTCTCTTTTATTAGTAATTTGAAAATTAAGCAGTTGTTTGAGTAAAAAAGTCTGTGTTTAATAAACAAAACTTTAAAGCTTAGTAACTTAAGTAAATGGTAATATTTAAATAGATTTTTATTCAACTTACGTATTAGGTGAGTCATGGTGTGGTGCTGTAGAATAAATACTGGATTGCCAACTGTAAGGTTGGCCGTTCAAACCCACCAGCTGCTCCTTGGAAACCCTGTACAGAGTCGCTGTTAGTGGGAACCAACTTGACGGCACTTAAAAACAGCATATTAAGAGCGGACTCTTAGACATTAAAGTCAGGGAGCCATGGGCCTGAATACCACACTGTTACCAGTTAGCTATGAAGTCACTGGGTGCACAAATGGTTAGCACTTAATGACAAGCAGTTCAAACCCTCCCAGAGACTCCTCAGAGAACAGACCTTAGTAATCTGCTTCTGAAAGTTCACAGCCTTGAAAACCCTATGAAGCCATTCTACTCTGCAAACATGGGTTACTGTGGGTCAGCAAAGAGTAATAGCAATATGTCCCTACAAATGTATGTCCCTGAGAGGCACAGATAACTTAGTCAAGTGCTTGGCTGCTAACTGAAATACTAGTGGTTTAAATTCTCTAAACTACATAGACATGTTGAGGAAAATAAATACAAAGCATATCCAAAGGAGCTTCAAAAACTTCTTGGAAAAATTCCAGTAACTTTTGAAGCCACCCTAACTCTGTTCCTTCTATATTACATTTCCTTAATAAATGCTGTCATTTCCTCTTAAAATTCCTATTCTTCTTATCATTCTATCTTTTGGTGTGAATTTCTTTTTCCTTAAATAACTTTATCCAAAATTTACCTTTTTTTGGGGGGGGTGGTATTTAAAATATACCTTTTTTATCTGTAATTGCTCCCCCAATTTTTTTTTTTTTTGCTATCTCTTTATTACCTTATCCTCACTTCTTAGTAGTCCTTTTAAGGATATTGAAAATGGCCCACCCCTTCTTTTTATTGTTTCCCTTTATTCTGAGAAGTATGAAGGTGCTCCAGAAAGTGGAACAATGGAATTAAAAGATAATAGAATTTTTCCACAAACCCGTGCACAAATATTGTATCAGACTTTCTGATTATTGCTGTGATCTTAGCCCTACTGAGCTGGATTATTTTCTCTGGTGTATAACAGATATATGTCTGTGTGTATATATTTTTTCCCTTCAATGTAAGGGGTGCTTCTACAATGATAAAAAAATTAGCAGGCATCTCTTGATAGAAGTTACACTTCTTTCTATTGATTTAGGAAAATGCATAATGACAAAAAAAAAAAAAACACTAGGAATTAAATGACACACTTTCAAGTTTTTCATTGTTAAAATAGTTTCATAATCTACCCATTTAAAAAAGATATCTGATAACGTAGTGGTTATGAGTCTGGCTGCTAACTTCAAGGTTAGCAGTTTGAAACTACCAGCTGTTCCATGAGAGAAAGATGAGGATTTCTGCACCCATAAAGATTTATAGCCCTGGAAACTATACAGGGTCGCTATGAGTTGGAAGCGACTCAACGGCACTTAACCACCACCACCCACTTAAAAGTGTTTTTGTGGTGTTTGACTAACCAGTGCTTCCTATGTGGCTTGTGGTAGCTCCACTGTCTCTGTTGGTGGTTGGAGTCACTGACCACATTACCAAGTTAGAAACAACATGGAGCCACAGAAACACAAAATGGTACTGTTTTTGATAAGGACAGTAAAGGCATATCATGAGTCATCTGTCTGTAAAAATTCTTGATGATGATTGGTTTCAGATTTCTCAAATTCATACTAAATGAATGTAATCATCTCTGACATTAAAAGATCCTTTTTTGTAACTTGCGCTGGTAAATGAACGAACCCGTCTTCCTTCTCTAGATTTTTAGATTTCCAGAATTTTTATAATGGGGTAACTTGTTTGTTTTCTAAAAATGTGAGATGGAGAGTTACTATTTAGGGATCACTGAATTGGTGCTACTGGAGTGGAATAAGTTGGAAAAGAATACTGACAATGATTGAATGACATGAGGATTGTAATCAATATATTTGTCACTGAACTATACATCTGGGAATGTTTTGTTATGTAGATTCCACCCCACAATTTTTAAAAATGTGAACATTTTAAGTCAAATAAATCATCACCTTCTCTGGAATGCTTTTTTCCTTTCAGAACTTTAAAATTTACTTATATATGCATGTAATAATTTTGATTTGTACTTCTATTTTGCTGGACATACTGCTCAATATATTTTCTTTTAATAATGTATTTTAGAGCTTTTCTTTGACAGCATAACTCTGCATCCCTCTAAGAAAATTACTGTATTGTATTTTTAGCATGTTTGTCTCTAATCTACATAGTCAAATGCCTATTGATGATTATTAGGGTGTTTTCATATTTGATTTGTATAAAAGCAACTGCAATATGTGTCTTTTGTAAGACTGCATTAAATGTATTGCCTACTACAAAGATAATTTTGCTAGACAGACCATTAACACAGTTAACTTGTTAAAGTAAACGAAGGAATCCCAAAAATCTCTTGTTTGTATGTTGTTTGCCTTCTTTGATGATCCTTGGGAAGTTTTGGAGAGATCCTGAAGTTACAGGAACTCCAACTTGAAATCACTGGTCTTTGGAGTAGAGACAGTACACTGAAATGGAAAAATGTTAATCAGAATAAATGAATAAGAAGCCAAAACCTTTAATATCAATAAATGTTGTAGCCTTGGTAATGATTATAAAGTGACAATAAAAGCTCTATTTTAGATTCACAGGATGTGAATTCTCCAATGTGGGTATATGAATCAATATGAGATTACTAAATCTACCAGACATATGTAAATATTAAAGCTGTAGATTGAATTCTTGTGATGTTCTCTGCATGTACTCTATAAATACTAGTATTCATAAAGTTTTATTTTTGCTTAAAACGAGTTAACGTACCAGTAGTATTTATTATTATCTAGTAATTTAATTATAGCTTAATTTCCTAAACTTCTTGGATTGTTACACTGCAATTGCACACTTATTGGCATAATTGTATGGTTTTGTTTATATAATTTTATTTTTCTCTAGAAAAATTAGTCTTTTAAAAAAAGGCAAATCTAGATTTAAAATAAGACCCTTTCTGTAGTCATTAATAATCGGTAATGTTAAATCCAAAGCTTTTCTGATATTTCTGCTTCCTTGTCAAGAATGATGACAGAATAATTTTTGTTGTAATAATTTTCATATGTGCTATCTTTATTTAGGAAGCTTTCTTTGGAAAAGATCTTCTTGATACAAGTAGACAGTACAAGCTGAGTTTAGATAATCTTTCAGAAGATACAGCTCAACTTTCATGTACAACAACTATGAATACAAATTTCTTGGATCCTTCCTTAGATCCACTACTTAGTTCATCCTCAACTCCAGCAAAACCTGCAACCCAAGGTATTTGGAATAATTCACAGATACTTTCTTTATCAGAAATCCATTTTCCTTTAAACCAAACCTCTTAAATACTGTAGTTTTTCCTCATTTACTTTTTTGCACTCAGTTTTATAAAAATATAAATTATAAGTTTATTTCTATAAAGTTTGGCAAATTAATTTACTTTGTAATTACAACCAAAATCAAAATTTGTAATGGAAAGTGCACAGTTTCTTTTGCTGAAGGCAAAGTATAGGGTATAATTTAGCCATAGTTGGTAAGTCATCAATAACCTATGATTGAAATAAGAGATTTCTAGTCATAACTTAATGCCATCTAATCAATTCTGACTTACACAGACCCGATTAGACAGAGTCACACTGCTCCCTGGGGTTTCAGATACTGTTAATTTCACAGGAACAGACAGCCTCGTTTTTTTTCCTACTGTGTGTTGGGTTGGGTTTGAACCATGGTGCTTGTGGTTAACAGCTGAACACTTAACCACTGTACCAATGCAATATAGAGGAAAGGAGAATGAATACTTAATAACTGGTTGACAGATTCTTAATACAGTGATGCATAACCATTGTCTTAAATCATGTATTCTCAGCCTCAACACTCTTAACGATTTGGACTGGATAGTTTTTGTTGTGAACTAACTTGCCCTGTGCATCTCTGGCCTCATGTTATCATGATGATCAAAAATGTCTCTGACATTGGCAGTTGTTCCTTTGATAAAATTGTCCCCTGTAGAGAACTACTGCTCTAGATACAGTGATTATAAGCTATTTAGAATCAGGGAAATATGTGAGAACATAGTTACATTTATAAAGTAATATTAATGCCAGAAAGAGCTCTGGTAGTGTAGTGGTTATGAGTCAGGCTGTTAACGTCAAGGTCAGCAGTTCAAAACTTTGAGCCGTTCTGTGGAAGAAAGATAAGGCTTTGTGCTCCTGTGAAGATTTACAGCCTTGGAAACCCTATACAGGGTCGCTATGAGTTGGGACCCGACTCCACAGCACACGACTGCACTGTCACCATTAATGCCAAGAAGAATATAGGAGTTTTGATGGGGGTGGAAGCATTGTGATCACAGTACTTTTCCCCCGTTTCTAGGTTTTATGGTATTACTAATGTTATTCTGTCAACAGCATGAAATTAAAAAAACTTATTTAAGAAAATTTTAAGATCTTCCATAGAAAAATTGCTTTTATTATGTTAAGTATCGTTTCATTAGCTTGGTAATATCTGGAGTTGAAATTGAGACTTTTGTTGTATATTCTTATTACTTCATGTCATCTGAAGCAGTTGTATCCCCATGGCATGCACATGCATATGCACATCCAGTGTGCCTCCCTAATTTTAATAGGAAATTAAAACACCTAAATAACAACCAAATATTCTTTGTTCAGTCTTTAGCAAATTATTTCACTTTAATTCTGTTATTTTCATTTACCTGCTTTTATCCATGTCAATATGTTGTTAAAATAAGATACAATGAAAGTCTGCAGGTCTCTTCAAATTAGATCTTATAAAAGTCATAACTCATCATTTATAGAAGCACTTGGGTTTTTGTAAGGAGAGAGCAGAAATTGGACAGAAAATTTACTGTGGTTTTTTTGTTTTTGTTTTAAAAAAAGACATTGATAAGTTATTTTTGTTCTCTTTTCTATTATTTGAAGTCATTTTTCCCCCACAGGAATGCAGCAAAGAATGTTTTATATGCAAAGCCAAAACTTGAAGGGCTAGAATAACACCCATTTAAAACCTAAATTAAATGTAATGCTCTTTGCTCATGAACTTTTAAAACTCGTTTGCCTTTTTAAAAACCAAAACCCATGGCCATCAAATTGATTTTGATTCATAGTGCAGAGTAGAACTGCCTACAGAGTTTCCAAAGACTACAAATGTGAACAGAAGTAGACTGCCACATCTGTCTCCTTTGGAACGGCTGGTGGGTTCAAACTGACAGCCTTTCAGTTAGCAGTGCAGTGTTTAACCGCTGCACCATCAGGGCTCCTGTAGGCCTTTATAATGGGAAATAAACAAGTTTTATTTGTTATATGGATTTCCCCCCCCCCCCCACTATTTCATTTGACATTGTCCTTTACATAAACTGTAATGACTAGTTGATAAGATACAAAATTATTTTCGTGAGGTAGGTCAATATTTTTAGAAATTTGTTTTTAAAATGTTTGTTATAATTTTGTAAAACTAAGTCGTTTGGCTTCAAAACAGCAGACACACAGCCACTAAAAGAAATGCTTCTAATTTGTATCCTTTCAAAAAAACTACATAGAGATTAGAATACACTATTTAAATACTTTTATCTCTCTAAAAGTTCTTACATGGACACACAAACTTAAATTAGCATTCAGCAATGAAAAATTATGTTCTTATGTATGAATTCTGTTGAAGCAATATACTTTTAATGGAATGAGACAGTTTCACAGAGATGTTTAATCTAGGATTAAGCTTATGTCCTTTTTTAACAAAATATAAAGATATGTACAATGGATTAAATTTTTCATATCAAAATTGAAAGATTAATTACTAAAACTAGCCTTTAATAAGAGTTTTTATCTTTTCCTACTTGATTAGACTACAAAACCTCTAAATTTGTCTCTACTTTTAAAATATACCCCGCAGCCAGTGACATTATACCTCCTTTAGATTGCAGTAGAATCTCCCCTAAGTGGTGTCTAGCCTTTTGTCATGCCTACTGTCCCACCTGTGCAGCCAGGTCTGTCTGTACATGAAAACCAGTGTCTTCCCTCTAACATAACCAGTCATAATATTCCCAACTACTTAACACAGACCCCATCCCCACCCCCCACCTCCCTGACTCCCATTACACGTTTTGAATAAAGCACATGGCTTCACCATGATCTGGAAAACCACACATAATATTGCCTTACTCACTGCTTTCATTTCCTGCTGCTGTTCTTTTTTACTGCAACCACACTTTCCCCCAGTGTTGGCAAAATCTGTGTGGTCTTATGTATTTTACACCCTTTATCAGAGTCCTGGTATGGCGCTATGGGTTAATGCATCAGACTGCAAAGCTATTTGAACTGCAAGGTTGGCGGTTCAAGCTGCTCTTCAGAAACCCTATACAGGGTCGCTATGGGTCAGGAAAACATTCCCTCTATTGGAGTCCTGGTGTGGTGCTGAAGGTTAATGCACTGGACTGCAAGGTTGACGATTCAAGCTTACCAGCTTCTCTTAAGAAACCCTATGCAGGGTTGCTGTGGGTCAGAACCAACTCAACAGCACTTAACAACAACAATTCCCTTTATTTGGAGTCCTGTTGTGGCTCTGTATGATAAGTACTGGACTATTAACCACAACGTGAACAGTTCACACACACCAGCCACTCCTCAGAAACGCTATACAGGGTCACTATGAGTCACTGACCTGATGATGTTGAACAACAACATACTCTTTGTTTGGTGTGTTCTTTCCATTTCTGTGCGTCTTACTCCCTCATTTCATGGTGACTTAACAGGCATCTCTTATGATGGTCTTCCCTTACCATCTTATCTGTCCCCATAACTTACTTTAATCCTTTTTCTTATTTTATATTTTTTATACTTACACTGACGTGCTTTATTTACCATCTAAAGTTCTCTAAGACAGTAAGCTTCTTGAGGGTAAGCAGTTTATTTTAGTCATTTTTGTAATCTCAGTTTCTGGAACAGTTCCTAATATGTAAGCCTTAGACATTGAACTCTGGGTGCTCAAATTTTTAAAATAACTGAGTGAGTAATTAATTACTATGAAGAGCACTGCTGGAATTAAGCAAGTAACTTGATGGTACCTGGCTTATACTTTACAGTAAATTTCTAAATAATGAGGCTGTTGTTCGTATTATGTTCACCTTCTCTGTGGAATCGGCACTGGACTGCAAACCACAAGGTTGGCAGGTCAAACCCACCAGCTGCTCCTCAGAAACCCCTACAGTGTTGTTAAGAGTTGGAAGCAACTTGACGGCACTCAGTAACGTGGGGTTTGTTGTTGTTGCTTGTTGTTGTTAGAGATGCTACTTAATTTTTTTAGCTTTATTTCTAATAGTATTCTGTTTCACTAGTATTGCTTGCAAGTCTTGATTTTATATTTTATTGTTAATATACATTAGCCACAAAACAGCTCATTCTAATTTGTAATAAACTTTTTTTATTATTATTACCATAACCAATGAGTGAAACTTGAAGCTCTCTCCTTATTTATTCTCAAGTTTAGACAGTTAGGTTACTGGAGTCATTGCCTCATCTGAGTCACTGGATTCATCTTTTGGTTCCAATTCTTCTAAGACTTTGTCTACAGTTGTACCATTTTTTTTCTTGCATTTCTTGGGAATTGCATCAGCACAGATTTTTCTCATTTTAATGTTTGGCAACTTCTCCAGATTAATATCCTGTACCCTAAAAGTTCTCAGATTACCAGCATCTACAATGTCTGGAATCTCAAGGCCATATCCTTCATATTGCTGTCACTCACGCGACATTGTTTGCTTGATAACCGTCTCTCGAGAATAGTGTCGCCTTCCCTATCTGTCTTTGATGCTATTATGCAACTCAATCTGCTCCAACTCACTTGCTGAATCAATTTATATAACTTTCAATTAATTCACAAGCATCCTGTTTTGAATATTCTATTTTTTTGTCATCAAGATGATTTTTAAACCGCTGCAGTTTTTCACTAATAAGGCTGAGGCACACAGCTTTTTCATTCTTAAAAGCACATGGGGCTGGGAAAGCCAGCGCGGCCCCCTTCCAAAAGGGTGGGGCGAGTGTGTCTCTTACAATAAACTTTTAAAATTAAAAACATTGGAGTATCTTTGCTATGAAAAATTCCTGAATTTAGAATGAAATATCTGTCACTGAGTCTTGGTATGGCACTGTAGGATAAACACTGGGTTGCTAACTACAAGGTCAGTGGTTCAAACCCACCAGCCACTCTTTGGAAACCCTACATAAGAGCACTATGAATCGGAACTTAACAACAACATCACTTACCTCAGTATCTGTCTTATAGTTACTTAGTGTTTGAGTAAGACAATCTTCTGGAACTTAATATCTAAGAAAATATTACCATTTTAAAAATACACTTATTATACATAGGTACTGCTGATGACCCATTAGCCGATCTTTCAGAAGTGTTAAACACAGATGATGACATCCTTGGAATAATTTCAGATGACCTAGCAAAATCAGTTGATCATTCAGGTATGTATGAATCCTATTTGTCTGAATTTTTTTTTTATGATGTGTGTGAGAGGTATGTGGAACAAATAATAATTTATGGTCTCTTTGCCAATTTTTTTTTTTTTTTTTGGCGTTGTCAGAAAACTCATTTTTATTTGATCCACCTTGACTTTTCCTGCTTTAGAAGGGGGAAATAGCAATTTAGGTAATTTCTGTTGTCTTTCTGATTATCATATTTAAGGCATGTAGCCTTATAGTTTGTTATATCTTTATTCTTCTTTTATTTACATTTCCCATCACTTCACGCCCCTATGGTAATCATCCATTTTATTTGGTTTGGGTCTTGTAGGTCTTGATTTATGCACTTTCCAGGTTGACAGCTCACCATTTCCATTTGGTAAGAATCTGAGCAATGGATGATTGTTGACTAGAAGTAGTCTTCTTTTCCATAGTGGTTTCAGCTGAAACAGCTTGTAGGTGCATGCATATATGTTAGTAGTGCTGTTTTGTTACTAATCCATACTTTGCTTTTACCATTTTGTGTGTGGCTAAAGCATAGTACAATTATACTGTGCTTTGGATGACTTTCTCCATAGTTTTACTTATTTATTTTTAATGAGTGGTTCCATTCTTGCTAATATCTAATTTATAATATTGCTCAAATGTTATAGTGTTTGTTCCTCATAGGAGGTCAACTAAGAGCAGGCTAAATTTATACCTTTTTTTTTTTTAACTTCTTATTGTGAATTGAATGAATGTTTATAGGCAAGATCATCAGTTTTACATTTAACACTTTATTTCATCTCAATGATTGTAGTCACCTCCATGCAACAAGTTAATCCCACTTCTTCCTGGGCTTCCTATTTCCATTCCACCCTCCTTCCCATCTTTCTCAACTTGGTCCTTTTGATTTTGAATGATTGCCATTCAATGGTGAACATTACCTTACTAATGTTATTGTCCCCCCTATATACCTATCTACTGCTTTGGTGAAAATTGGACTATGAGATTGTTCCCTTTCCAGACCTGAAGAAACGTAAAAAAGAAATTTTAATTTATTAAATAGGAATAATATTTATGTTTTTGTTAAGTACCATTGAGTCAGTTCCGACTCATAGTGTGACCCTATCTAGGGTTTCCAAGGAGCAACTGGTGGCTTTGAACTGCCAGCCTTAACGGTTAGTAATCCAGTGGGCAATAAGGCACTTTTATATGTAACTCTTATATGGAATTCTATCTTTTATGAGATGAAAGCATGTTCCAGTGTTATAAACATAATCTTAATCTTGTTTGATGATTATAGAATATTTGAAAATATAATCTATAATTGCAGTTGTGTACAAAATAACAATTATTAAATATTTAGTTTAAGAAATTTTCACTAATTTGAGTGAAACATCATGCCCCCTGTTTAACAGAGTAGTTGAACTGTAACATAGTAATTGTACTATACAATTTGATACCACTGTTTTTTAAGGTAAAATAAGTATTTGTATATTGACTTCTTATCAATCCTTATCTTTAATATGGTGCTTACTTTTGTAGAAATTAGTAGTGATTTAAAATCAGATGTGTTCTTGTGTTACTCAGGGAATTATGTTTACTTTGATTAAAATGTAACTTTTAACAAAGTACAAACTTTCCATTGCTGTTTTTAATCATATTATTATAAATTAATGTTGGCATACATAGTATGACTTTTGCTAAAGTATTCTAAATTCACTGTTTAATATAATTACCTTACTCCTTTAGCTGGAATAGATATTGGGCACGTCGCTGATGATCCTTCATCTCTGCCTCAGCCAAGTGTCAATCAAAGTTCACGACCATTAAGTGAAGAGCAACTAGATGGAATCCTCAGTCCTGAGCTAGACAAAATGGTCACAGATGGTAAAATATTTGCCCTACATCTAGGCTTTCTAAAACACATGAGTAAATATGATTTTCAAAGATTTCTGCATGCTTATTTATTATTTACCTTCTATTCTTATAATTTCTATATTTATTAAGTACTATTTTGTATATCACATTTAAATGGTAGTTGTTAATATTTCTGTTTCTTAATTTTATCCTAGGAGCAATTCTTGGAAAATTATATAAAATTCCAGGTATGCTCATTCTGAATGTAAATATATGAGAATAGCATTTCTTATCCTATCTCCTCAATAGTCTTTTAATCATATTCTCATTATTTTATGCCATAGAGCTTGGAGGAAAGGATGTTGAAGATTTGTTTACTGCTGTTCTTAGTCCTGTGACCACTCAGCCAACTCCATTGCCACAGCCTCCACCCCCATCACAGCTGTTGCCAGTACACAGTCAGGGTATGTTATAACTAGAAAAAGCTTTGCAAATATTGTTCTACAAATTTTCTTACATGTTTATTGGGGGTTTCTCAAACACATATCTGCATGTAGGAATCACTGGATGGTACAAATATTTAATCACTGCACTACTAGCCAAAAGATTGGCCGTTCGAACCCGCCTAGAGGGTCCTCAGAAGATAGGTCTGGTAATCTGCTTCTGAAAGATCACAGCTTAGAAAACAGTATGAAGCAGTTGTACTCTGCAGTTGTGATTACCATGAGTCAAAATTGACTTGACAGTAGCTAACAACCATATTTTGTATGTGGTACTTATGGTGTTGGAGGAGAATATTGAAAGTGCCATGGGCTGCCAAAAGAACCACTAGATTCGTTTTGTAAGACGGGCAGCCAGAATGCTCCTTGGAGGCCAGGGTGGCCAAACTTCGTCTCTCATACTTCGGACATATTGTCAGGAGGGACCAGCTGAATCGATTTATATAACTTTCAATTAATTCACAAGCATCCTGTTTTGAATATTCTATTTTTTTGTCATCAAGATGATTTTTAAACCGCTGCAGTTTTTCAC